CAATAGGAGCGAGTCGAAATGTTCTCTTATTCGCAGATGGAAGAAAGATATCAAATCTCATTAGCCAATTGAAAAAGCTGTAGGAAAAAATTCAAAAATTGATATTGTTTCTACGCAGAGCGGAATTGTGTTATTTTATCAATGTAGACTCGAATAGGCGGGGCTTCAAATACGTATTCATAGTTAGCAGTGCCGTACCCATTTCCGTTTGGGGGGAGGGGGGGGGGGGGAGGGAGGGAGGGAGAGGGGGGAGGGGAGGGAAGGGGAGGGAGGGGGGGGAGGGGGGGGGGGCGAGGGGGCGACAGAATTTTTTTATGGAGGTGGATTGCGTTAGCCACCACTCCGATAATTTTTGGTACTTCCCAAAATTTTTTCGGGCCCCTAACCCGAAATTTCAGTACAAGTGCAGACAAATAAATTGCACATTTTTATAACTCAAGTAAGTAATTTCCAAGAATATTCCATACAAATATACCTAGTTGTCAGTGCCCCCCTCGGTACAATACTGATAGTAAGGTATACTGAAATGAATTGTTTTGACATCACAAGATTAAAGCAATGCTATTCTCGATAAATTGCATGCACAACTCACTGTCTTCTAAGCAAGAACTGAATACACTTCTAAACCCACTGTAACCGACATACAGATTCACAATAATATCGACAGCATGCGTTTCTTTCCGCTCTTGCTCCGCCCTACTCGAAAGCGTCCAGTTGCAGCCAACTTTCTGACCAATCAGAAGTGCGGTGCTATGAACGAGCACTTCAAGAAGGCCATTTTCCTGAGAAGGTTTTGAGCAGACACTAGCTGTTAGTCCTTGAAGAGATGGCTAGGGAAGGGGACGCCATATTGGTCAACAGCCAAAAAATAAAAATCCTGAAAAGACCGAATGCCCTTAGTCGGCACTTAGCCAAATTTGATCCTTACAAGCTGAATTGGCTTCATTTGCGCCTCAAATTATCCAGTAAAAAAATACTGCGTTTGATTTTCACCGCGAGACCTGTTTTGCACAGCATTTTGAAGCTATTTCCCTTAAACTAGTATGTTGTAATAATGCAGAATGAAATTGTCATTGCAGTTCAAGAATTTTTTCGTTGCTTCAGTTTTACTGCTCCGATTTCCATCCCGTCCACCTTTTCCACTCCCAAAAACCCCCAAATGTTGAAGTTTATTCTCACATTATTTCGGCTGACCATTTTCAGCAGGAGGGTGTCGAGGGTGTCGACGTGATGTCTTGTGGTCGACAACGAAGGCGACATCCAATAAGTGGACGCTGATCTAATTGTGGCCGTCCTCATCTAGAGGCGCCCGCAACTGCTTAGGCTTTCAAGAGTAGATTCACTTATAAATTTGCTTCCCCCTTCGACATGACTTTTGCATTTTGGGCACTTTGATAGATTTGTTAGACTTTTAGCGGCTAAAAATAGGTGATTTTTATGCGTAGACTTTCTCGAGATATGAATGGTGCTTCGTCTTTTTTTTCTAATATTTTAGCTTAACCGTTTAGTTTGAAACCCAACTAGTCGTAGTTCCATCTAGTTGTTTATTTGATATTTTTGTCCCTGTGCTACATTAGCGCAAAATCGAAATGTGGTGTGCTTTGGCAAAAGCCATTCTGTTCAATCCCAATGGAATCAAAACCAAATCAAAGCAATGAAAACTGCAAGGTGCTAAAAATGCACTCTTCCTATGTGTTGTTAATAACTCTGTTTTATTTTTTTGCTTCAATTTTCTACTGGCAGCCTATGAAGAGGGTCCAAACGAATGTAGAATTCTATAAAGTGTTATCTTTTTTTACTTTCACTTATTCTACTTTAAATTTTTTATTTTTACTAAGTTCCGCAAAATCAACAAATAATCACCATAGAAGGCATTTATGATATTGATCAATCTATAAAGCTTAAAGGCACCGTTCACCCTAAGTTGAGGGTCATGAGTTTTTGGCAACATATGATAGGGTCGCCTTTCGAGCCAGTGCCCAAATCGCGGCGCAAAATGTAGCTTCTGAACGAGTAAATCGCTCCGGAACGAGAACTCCCAGACGGCACCGCCCTCCCCATCCATGCCCGCCCATTCGTGCGCGCCCAGCCAATCACAGTTCCGCAAAGCCGGCCTGCGGGTTCTCCGAAAAGGGGATTGTTGGGGGTTTCAGCGGATTCTCGACTTCATATTCAGAATCATTAACATGAGAAGGTCCCGGAACGATCAAAATGAAGGTCGGGAATCTGGGTGACGATGCCTTCAAGCTGTGCGCGGAATGTCTTGTAAAATACTTAAAAAGTACTTAAAATTCTATAATTCCTTTGGCGATGATTCTTTTTGCGCGAGACTTGTTTCGTTCCAAGAATAAATGATTTTTCCGACAATTTGACAGCTTGTTTTAAAGTGTTTCATAAACTGCAGTTTCCTCTCTTTTCAAGGAAGAATTTGTGAGAATCAAAAGTTTTTTTTTTGGCTCAAAGAGAAAATTTCTTCAAGCGCAACTCTGAGTTCTCGTTTTAGGGGCTGGCAGTGGTTTGTAAAAATTCCGAATGAACGTTTGGTACTGTACGGTTGCAGTAGGAACTTTAGGCAAACAAAATGACTTCAATGCGAATCAGTTACCATTTCAGGTAATTTCCAAAACAGCGGTAAACTCCTATGCTAATGTTTATAGCACTCTGATATCATCGAATAAGTTTGTGAAACACTTCACGAATAAACCTTCTTTGGGTAATCAGATTTTTGGGGATTACACTATTACACTTGTCCCAACCTTTGAACTTGAGATTACGGTAGTGCCACCTCCATGTATGGAGCAACTCCTGATTATCTCCAGCTCTTTTTTGGAGTCTTCTGAATATGTCTTTTATTGGCACAAGTCTTCTAGAAGTTTTACTGTATTCCTGCGGACGGAAGAGCGATGAATGACTTTAACACCAACTTTATGACACAGTATCTAAAAGTTCGTAAATTAATTAGGTAGGTGTTGTTAATATTGATCAACGATGTGCACATTTTATACGCCATGTTTTGTTAACATTCTTGTTTAGTTGAGGAAATTAGTAGCTTTTGATTCAACTGGTTTGGCGGCTGGAAGGCGGGACTTCGTGACCCAATTTAATCTAAATAATGATCAGAGAGCACGCGCGCGGGAAAGACGCAGACTGCAGCGCGAGCGCGAGCGGCCTTACTTAGGTCACAAAGCCCGCCTTCCAGCCGCCAAGCCAGTTGAGTCAAAGGTTACGTTTGTGAATTTATGTTACTATGGCGTTTGTATACATCATCGAGCAATGATTAACTAGTAAATTTAAACTCGAAAAAAAACTTCACAAAAACACCTTTTTGTCAGGCTTTTTTTTACAATTCGGGCAGAATATGGTCTTCAATGGCCCAAAATCTTTGTCGAAGTCCCTACCGTAGTCCTACAGTAATGAAGGGCAATCGATGTTTCGCCCCATACTGCAAATCTAAGATGAACCTTGCTCTACAAAATGGTACCCAAAAGTTGGCCAAAAGGCATCAAAGCAAAAAAGTTATTAATGATCGAACAGTGCGCACATTTTTGGGACACCCCATATTTCCCGAATTCATTCAACCCTTGTTTAGCTTCCTAAAAGTCTATCTTGGAACGGATAATGTCTCTCATTGAGACGGCTCAACTTATTCTTTTTTTTATTCACAATTTTTGGTGAAGTGTGCAGCAGTGTGCCAAAACCGAATAATTATCACATTATTGAAACTTTACCAAATTAAATTTGAACATAATTATCTCCTGAGAGCGAATGTTTAAGCAAACGCATAATTTTTCTCATTAGCAAATTTCTATTTTGTGCATTTGTCTGTTTTTCTTGTGATGTGGGAATGTATCTTATATATAAAGCTGAATGTCTGTTTGTCTGTCTGTATGTCTGTCTGTATGTCTATCTGTCTGTGTGTACGTATGTTCCGAATAGAAAATTCCATTTCTGAACCGATCCGGACCAAACTTGGCACACATACACTACGGGCCCCGGCGGGTGTCATAGGCTACTTTTCGTCATCGATCGATATCGATTTTATCGATTTTTATCGATTTTTTGCTGAGTTCACCTACGGGGCTGGGAGTTGGCACAGGGGGGTAATCGAGCATGGGAATTCCGAATACAATATTGGTTTTCAGGATTATCGATTACTTTTATCGATTTTATCGATTTTTTTGCAAAGTTTGAGCTACGGGGCTGGGAGTTCGCACAGGGGGGTAATCGAGCATGGGGATTTCGAATACAATATTGGTTTTCGGGATTATCGATTACTTTTATCGATTTTATCGATTTTTTTGCAAAGTTTGAGCTAGGGGGCTGGGAGTTGGCACAGGGGGGTAATCGAGCATGCTGATCATCCCAAGGGGGGTGATCAGCATGCTCGATTACACCCCTGTGCCAAATTCCAGCCCCCTAGCTCAAATTTTCAAAAAATCGATAAAATCGATAAAAGTAATGGACGATCTTGAAAACTAATATTGTATTCGTAATCTGCATGCTCGATTACCCCCTGTGCAAACTCCCAGCCCCGCAGGTCAAACTTTACAAAAAAATCGATAAAATCGATAAAAGTAATGGACGATCCTGAAAACTAATATTGTGTTCGTAATCAGCATGCTCGATTACCCCCCTGTGCAAAATCCCAGCCTCGCATGTCAAAATTTACAAAAAATCGATAAAATCAATAAAAGTAATCGATAATTCTGAAAACTAATATTGTATTCGGAATCCCCATGCTCACTTCCCCCCCCCTGTGCCAACTCCTAGCCCTGTAGGTGAACTCTGCAAAAAAATGGATAAAAATCGGTAAAATCGACATCGATCGATAACGAAAAGTGGACTGTGACACCCGCCGGGGCCCGAAGTGTATGTGTGCCAAGTTTGGTCCGGATACGGCGGAGCCGGGTAAGCCAGCTAGTTCTTAATGAAAAAGGACATTCTCCCCGCTCATTTTGCACTTCTTTTTATTTTGCATGCTAATGAGACGAACAATGTCATATCTTTGCAGATGAATGTCTACTAGCATGTCAGCAAACGTTGCCATTCTTTCCATAGTGTTCTTCAGCTGTTTTCGCTTTGCATTGACGGAAGATGGAGAACGATGCGGATTGCAGGAAGAGAGAAAAGTGAACGAGTGCCTTCAGGTCGGTGCCTCCAGGGTTGATTTTCTCTCTTAATTTGTTAGAAAAGTCGTTGATTGGTGTTCACAGATTTGTAGGGGGGTTCATTATCATTGGTTCCCATCTATGCGTTATTTTAAATTTATGTTTCTTCAAAAATATTCAAATTTTGGAGCTTTTGATAATTTCCTCACAAATTATGTGTGCTGCCAACAGCCTTAGACTTCTCCACAAATTATCGCAACCTGTCCGATTACAAAACAAATTTCAAGTCCAAGACATAGTGACCAGAAGCTTTTCGCACCGAAAAAAGTGCAATTTGTCCATTTTGTAACCTTTGATTTAACTGGCTTGGCGTCTGGAAGGCGGGTCTTCGTGACCTGATTAAGGCAGCTCGCGGCCGCGACGCAGTCTGCGTCTCCTCCTCGCGTGTGCTCTCCGATCACTACCAAACTTTAATTAGGTCACAAAGCCCGCCTTTCAGCCGCCAAGCCAGACAACTGAGGATCTATAGTACTGCTGTGAGAACAGTGAGCAAGATTTTTGGAAACACTATTTTTCCTCAACAGTAATATCTAGTCAATCTCCAATTTATCAAAAAATGAATTTGTTGTCAGACAACTGACCGGAACTTCCGCAGAACGTTTGGGAAAGTTCCGCCTGGTCACCTGCGGAAGCTCCGTAAGCGTACTCCGGAAGTTCCCGAATGAATGAAATGCTGCGGAAGTTCCGAAGAATGCGAACTACAACAACAAGAGAAAACACGCAAGCGAGATTGAACCTTACTGTATTGACTGTGAGACTCATCTAATATCCTCTGCACTACGGCTGACATGTTCGATAATGAACTCCAGTTGTTGGCGAGGCAACATCATACGAGACGACACATTCAAAACTCTGCGGAAGTACTGGCATGCGCCAAAGTGCTGCGAAACCGCTGGCATTTTTCGGAAGCCCCAGCGCTTTATAAAAAGTCCTGCGGAAGCTCCCGTTTTCAACCATTTTGACGTGAAAATCCTGCGGAAGCCCCATCTTCAACGTTTCTACTTTTGCAATAGTAAAATCGTGCGGAAACGCTGCAAAATTTCCTTGTTTTGCGGAAGTACTGGTGGTTCCAATGTGGACACTTAAAACAAGTTGCATGATTCTTGAGCACTTTGGCTAGTCATCTTTCCCTCTTATCTCTTTTTTGCATCGGTATGGTTAAAATTCAGCGATTACGGTGATTACACTAGAAATTTTTATTGTGGCTTTGTATACTTCGTCTTTAGCTTGCAGTAGAACGGATGCGTCCCGTCACTCCTAAAAACTCGTCTTTTGACGTCTTTGACGATTTTTTTTGTGTCCGCTGCTTCGTCAACCAAATTCGAAAGCGTAGGAAAAGCCTCGAAAGGAGCCATCAAGAAATACGCAGTATCTGGAATACCTTTTAGCCATGTAAAGTGCTCAATCTTCGTCATCACCAAAGACTCACTTTAGCGGAATATTTTAGAGGCAAATTTTCTCTCAAATTACTCGGTTGTTGGTGCATATCTTCGCTCTCAAGGCTGTAGGCCTGCACGAAAAGTGATAAGCAAAAGATACTACACAAAAATTGTAAATAGTGGATACAAAGACTGACAAGCCATTGGTGCAGCTTTTTGCTAAATTTCTTCCTTTTACAAAGGCAACCTTTCATACGATAGGATGTTAACATGTATAAAAACTGTGAATAGCTTTGAGTTGCAGCCAAAGTAAGATAAAATAGGTGATGCATCGCTGGCTCCACTTCTGCGAATTACTGGTACTCGAACGCTATGCCAGAGTAATTGTGGAAAGATCAGTGATCCAGAGAAGGTGCACCTACCAATGTCTATCCGTTCCTTTACTTCAACTGCAAGTTTTGCTACCGTAATCATTACTGTAGAGGGCGCAGATGTTTAACGAGAAAGTGTGATAGTAAATCTAACGGTCAGTATAGTGCTGCATTGCCAATGACACTGACTGAAAATAAGCCAAGTGCTCAAAAACTAAGAAGACGTTTGATCTTGATTATTTGACCTTATTCAACATGTATAACATTTTAGCCGATGCTAGATTATGCGGCTAAGCTTCAAGCAGACACCGGAGCAATGCAATTTCCACTACAAGGAGGAGAAGTGTTCAAGAAGTTATGCTCTATTTACTCGGAATTCAAGGTCAGTGTGGAAAATCAGTTCTGTAGAGAGTCTATAGTAGATGGTTCAGATGATGTGGTATTTACTCTAAAAATTTCTGTCCGTTAAGTGTGTCTAGAGTTACTTTCTTCTAACGACGTACAGAGGTGCGATAGGGGGAGCCAAGTCTCCCCCTACCTTCACTTTTGAGCTGGTACGGGGTGACCACCTTCACTTTTGGAATAAAAAATTTTTCGCTGGACGACAAAGAAGGAAAATAAGCAAAACAAACGCAAAAAAGATTATTGAAAGCATATATTTATGTATACGGCGGCATATATATTTAAAATAAAGGTTTTTAGTAAATGGTGTATTTGGAAGTAAAGCTTAGCAAAACTCTACGGATTTTATTAAGCAAATTATGTTATAACGTATAGCGAAGGAAGTAGGTCGATCCAGGCAGTAACGGCCGAGAACCAGAATTTTGAATATTTAAATAGTGAAAAATCATGCGAAATTTCCACTGTTATAAATCTGTTGTTTGAAGATGTCAGCAGTTGCGACTTCATAGGTTTTGAAGAGTAGATGTTGCTCTATCAGCTAGTGAAGGAATCGGGTCGATTTAAGAGATAGTCGTTGAAAACCAGAATTCTAAAAATTTACGCCATTTTTGCGTGTTTTTTGACAGTTGACAGTTAAACTCTTATAAATCTTGAATGTAAAAGTGTGTGATGTTGCGACTTCATAGGTTTTATAGGGTAAGGTTTGCCTTATCAGAATATGTCTTGTCCGTTCCGATCCATTGAAACACTTCCGAGATCCAGGCTCTTGAAAAAGCAGGTAAAAAACAGCTTTTTGAACTTCAACAGCTCGTAACTTCTCCAGAACTGCATGAATCATGTTGCGACTTCATAGGTTACATTCTTCTCATCAAGAGCTTTCAGATGATGTATAAAATGTGGGAGTTTCGCGCCTCTCACGGCATATGCCCGGGGGGGGAGACTTTTTAGGCCAAAGTCTCCCCTGGCGGCCTCCAGCCAATACATTAAAATGGGCGAGGGGGAGACTTTGGCCTAAAAAGTCTCCCCCCCCGGTCATAATTCGTAGGAGGCGCGAAACTCCCACATATTATATATCATCTGAAAGCTCTTGATGAGAAGAATCTAACCTATGAAGTCGCAACATGATTCATGCAGTTCTGGAGAAGTTACGAGCTGTTGAAGTTCAAAAAGCTGTTTTTTACCTGCTTTTTCAAGAGCCTGGATCTCGGAAGTGTTTCAATGGATCGGAACGGACAAGACATATTCTGATAAGGCAAACCTTACTCTATAAAACCTATGAAGTCGCAACATCACACACTTTTACATTCAAGATTTATAAGAGTTTAACTGTCAACTGTCAAAAAACACGCAAAAATGGCGTAAATTTTTAGAATTCTGGTTTTCAACGACTATCTCTTAAATCGACCCGATTCCTTCACTAGCTGATAGAGCAACATTTACTCTTTAAAACCTATGAAGTCGCAACTGCTGACATCTTCAAACAACAGATTTATAACAGTGGAAATTTTGCATGATTTTTCACTATTTATTTATTCGAAATTCTGATTCTCGGCCGTTACTGCCTGGATCGATCTACTTTCTTCGCTGTACGTTATGACAAAATTTAATTAATAAAATCCTTACAGTCCAACAAATTTTTACTTCCAAATACACCATTTACTAAGCACTTCTATTTTGAATTTTTATAAATAAAATTTATAAATATTTTTAATATTCATCGTATCTGTGGCCCTAAAGAGGGTCGGTGGGTCACAGTTCGACCTAGAAAGATAGCTCTATTCGTCCGTTCTACCCCCCCCCCCCGTCGACGTTTTTGGGAGGTGAGTGTCCGGCACTACCACCTTCACTTTTGGCCGGCCAGTGGTAGCTGGAACCACCTTCACTTTTGGTAGGCCCGGCTCCCCCCATCGCACCTCTGACGACGTACCAGAGCGGTGCTTGCGCCGTACCGTAATATCGAACAGCATCGGGTTCAGGGCCCGGCACGCGTTGGTTTGGAGGTTTTTAGGAAACGAAGTCCCCCATGACTTCGCGAAAATTTACGAAGTCCCTCTCGACGTGAAAATCAGTAGGGGAACCCTTATTTAACCAAAATAACAACAAAAAAGCGAAAAAAGCGCATTTTGAGGTATGTAATATAACAAAAAAGCAAAAAGAAAACATTTCGAGTCGATTAAAGGCTCTGCCACTGGGTGTAGTACCATTTTGATGCTGGGAATGTCGAAAATCTCCTAGGCCAACCAAATCTGTAGCCTCAACAATCCTGCGATGCATTTTTCACCACATATTTCAAAGGACACCGCAAGTGATTGGAGCGCGATATCTATGAACGCGTCGAATTATACTACTTTTGACTCAAAAAAGGGGAGAGGCAACGGTTTGATCCGCTCTCTTCAATAAATGATAGATTTTTGACCGTTCTAATCGTCCAAATCAGAAAGGTCCAAAACTTATGTGAACTCTCCGATATTTATGCTCCGAACCAACCCAGTTGGTTTGGTAGTTGGTCTAGAAACCAACAAATTCGAGAACGGATATTAGGACACATAAGATTTGGGAACTTTTTACGTAACATAGTTTGGAGTAATATTGTATACACATAGCCCAAATTTGGAGCCATGTGATTGTTTGTGCGCTGTAAACAAGCCATTTATTTGTTTGAGTCTTGCATTTGAAATTCGCGCGTTGCGAAAGAACACGTTCAACTCGTAAAACCTGACGTGTTCGTCGTGTTTTTTTTGGCGCTTCCTCCAGGATCTCAAAAAACGATGTCCCCGTTGCTTCTAACTCCAAAAACGAAGTCCAGTTTGACCCCAAACCATCGGTGCCGGGCCCTGATCGGGTTTACTTGCTCAGACAGCCGGTGGAGTTCCGGGAAACACTTGGGGAAGCTCAACGGGATCCCTGCGTTGGGTATCCCGCTTGTTTCCGGGAGCGAGAGATCTGTTCCCCCTGTTTGATGGTTTTTCAAATATTAAATCAACCCTATTTAAGCTCTAAAATACCAATAGCCCCTAAATCCCACTCAAAATAGCTTTAGGCACTAGAATCGCACTTGAAATTAGTCTTTTTGAAGAAAGGGAACACTACTAGACATGGTACTAATTATTTATCTTAATAAAGTAAAAAAACACAAGTTCTAGGGTGATAGTATAACAATCGAGCAGTGGAAACGAGAAAATACACAAGTAATTGACACGGATTGGTAATATAAGGAATTGAGAAGAGGTAGTCACGCAAGATAAACCAATGATTCAAAGGCTGTACTAAGCAGCATCGGTCCCGCGCTGGTAGGCGTTGCGATGACGCACTGTGGTGACGTGCCTTAAAGGCAGTGTCCGGGCAAAATGGGGGTTCTGAGATTTCTCTGCCATGTGAAAGTAGCCCCCCTGAGACACAACATCGCGCAACTGCGAACATAAAACGTTCGACCTAAAGCTAGAAAAACGATTGCAAAATGGGGAAACTTACGCCTTGGGCGGGGTCCTCCGAGTTGTTTGAATTCCTGCCAGACGGCAGAGTACGTATGCCGCCACAGTTAAAAACCGTGCGCTCTTTGCAACCTCTGCGTCTTAGCCTGGCGGGGATCCCCAAATTTCGAAATGTGAGGACTTGGAAAATGCATGTTCTCGCCGTTTTCGCGCCTTCTGATGTGGATTTTCGGATTCAGCGTTGCGGATAACCTCAGATAAGTTGATTTTTTAGAAGTCGAGTTTCTGCCCGGACACTGCCTTCAAGGCGAAGACGCAAATGCACGCTTTGGCAGAAATGAGGAGTACTTGCATTTGAGTGCTGGCTTCAGCACTCTGGCGGGAGCCTCAGAAAATCTGGGAGTGGTAACCGAGTGGCTTACTGGCATCAGTAACATTACCATGGCTACCTTAAACTTGTCATTCCCTCTAAGAGCAAACATTGGGCGTATCTTGAAAAAAGAGTCCAAAAAGAAAGAGGATGTCAGTGTTGTAGAAACATTGATTTGCTGTTATCTGTCCATATCTTTGCTTACAGTGGTTATACAATTACCACTAGTCTATTTAAGCTCATCAAAGACCTTTTCAAATGACTTACTTTCGAGTCCGCGCTCCGCTACAATTCCATAACTTCAGGCCCAAAGGCGCTCCGCAGATAAGAAAATAAGACAGGTTTGGATCAGTGTTCAATGCTCTACAAAAAATTTGCGTCACATTTAGGGTCACGCGTGGGTTGTGACTTGCCAAACACCAAGCTTGACCCTGATTGTAACGCATAGTTTTTTGTAGGGCATTGAACACTGATCCAAACCTGTCTTTTTTCTCATCTGCGGAGTAAAAAAGGGAAAAGGGTCGTAGTTGAGTACTGATACTAGCGATAATATTCTCCAGCAGTTTGTCAGGTAATCCCAAATGCAAGGTACAAGCACATGAGATATTAATTCGTCATCGTTTACCTACCTAGCAGTGGCGGATCGAGGGGGTGGGGGGGGGGGGGATGGAGGAGCTCCAAAGAATTGGTCGCAAAATTTTTGAAAATTACTTATAGGGTTATAAAATTGCGCGAGTGACTTGTTTTTTCTTGTAACCAATTGAAATAATTTTTAAAAATTTTTGAAAATTCAAATTAGCCTCGTAAATGGCGTCAGCCACGCCCCTTTTTTACCTTAGGGGTTGAAAACAAAAATTTTGAGACCCCAAAAATTTTTTCGGAGTGCGTGGCTAGTGCCACGTACCTTCATCGGAAATTCTTTTTTGCTGCCCCTCCCCCTCCCCCCTCGGGCGGAAATCCTGGGACCCGCACTGCTACCTAGCATAATAAAGACGCCCAACCAAGCATAACGAGTAATACATTCATGATTAGTATGTCAAACAACTCCTGTGAACCAAGTTTAAGCGAATTGTGAAGTTTCTAATTACTGGATCAACCGAATGAAATGGTCACTTTCGAACATGATTAGCTTTGTTTTGAAGGCGGATTAGCTAACCTTTGATTCAACTGGCTTGGCACCATTAGGGCGGGGTTTTGTGATCTAATTGAGGCCGCTCGCGCCCGCGACGCACCTGCGTCTCTCTCGCGCAAGTGCTTTCTGATCACTACCTAGCCTTGATTAGGTCACGAAGCCCCGCCTTTGCCGATGCCAAGCCAGTTGAATCAAATAGTACCTCTTTTGCAAGGAATGCATGTTTTGTCGAAGTGGCCTTTTTAGACGGGACGTCTAACATATTGAAAGGCATAAGTTGGTGATTCTAAATGTGCCTTCCCTTTCTGCAAAACATTTATGGACGAGGAGTTATTAGTGCTTATAGCAAAGTTGATGTGCAAGTAGGACAAAAATAGCCGTAATACATTTTCTAGCTCCTCAAAGGAACTGTGATAATCTTCAGTAAACTTTATTCGAAAATACTCTGAAATAAAAAATATGTCAAACTTGGTTGCATTATTTGAGAGCTAGTAGGATTTTGGGAACTCGTTTTATCCAAAATGCACATATAATCTTTGGCTCAAAAGAGACGCTCATGACTCCTTGTCCATAAACGGGAATCAGCGTTTTATGCTCTCTAATTTGGTATATACAGGGTGTCCCAAAAAGATGTGCACACTGTTTGATTGTAAATAACTTTTTTGTGGTGAAGTGTTTCGAGAAGCTTTAGGTACCATTTTGTAGAGCGAGGTTCAACTTAGATTTACAGTGTAGAGCGGATCTCCGATCTCTCATTCTTACTGTAGGATTACGGTAGAAACTTTGAAGAGGGTTTTGAGCATGAAAGTCCATATTTTGTTCCAAAAAGAAACCAAAACAACCTGAAAACTCTCACACTGGGCTAAATAGAGCTGCTTTTTCTAAATGTGAATTTTGCAACTCTTCTTAATGCTTCATTAAAAAATTATGCGAAGTAAGCAGTAGCAGACGTTTTTTAAGTGTTCCTAAAAAGTGCGGTTACACCGTTTAGAAAGCTTTTCAACCTTGTAAAGAGTTGGGTATTGAACTCAGGGTCCATGAAAAACCCTATTACACAAACTTCCACATTTTTTTGAAAATTTTTGAAACGGCCCCTTTTCTCACAGTGACACCATATGTTTCATGTTTCTACCGTACTCCTACAGTAAGAATGAAAGACCGGCGTTTCGCTCTACACTGTAAATCTAAGTTGAACCTCGCTCTACAAAATGGTACCTAAAGCTTCTCGAAACACTTCACTACAAGAGAGTTATTTACAATCAAACAGTGTGCACATCTTTTTGGGACACCCTGTATATCACTTGGAACTCCACTTCGACTAAACAAGTTTTCTTTGTTAGTACAAAGCACTGCTCCTTTTTTGCCTGAAAACCCTGCTTCCAAAGATCGCCAAACAATCAAAAGCAAGCCAAAATTGCGTCAGTCCTATTTTGCGCTTTTGACGGCTGTGCTTTCAGCAACTACTACCCAAAGCAGAGAAGGCGAATTGATTCAAATCACTTTTTATAAAAACTACAAGATTTGAGCCACATTCATGTAAATAATGTTGGGTAAAAATGCTTTTATGTTGGTAATGTTTGGGAATAATGTTTGATAAAAATGCCAAAAAGACAGATTTTTGGTGTAAAATTCAAAAAATAAGGAGAAGGCAAAGAATACTTCTAGTTTGCAATTAAAAAGAGCTCAAGAGCCGATCAGTATTAATTGTAGTAACCCATTTGGCGACATATAAGCGAGTAATCCTTTGTGGAAGGAACTTACTCTCTATGTATGCGCTAGTGGCTAGGCGCAGCAGCGAGTGGCAGGGAAGCGCGCATTTACACAAATGGAATGCAGTAAGTTTGTCAGAAAAGGGAAGTCGAAAAAGTGTGGCGATTGAGAGCCATTCCTTTGAAATTTTGGAAACAGACTTGTAAAGCTGAAATAGCATTGTGCTAGAAAAATCTTGGCAAAACTCTATATCGATAGCTCTTGTGTGCGGAGATTTGACTGAGGCCTGCGGCGCGGATTCGAATTTGTTGACAGATAACAAGGTCGTTTGTTGACTTGAGAAAAGTAAAATAGGGTCGCAAGAGAAAACCTCAAAAAATGCTGCAATCAAGAACCATTCCTGTGAGATTCAGGTATGAAATTGGTTTAGAATACAGAAACACACATAATAGAAATATATGAAATTGATCCCACATCGATCCTTGATGCGAGCGTTGACTCCTTAACGTAGAATATCTGAATGAAACTATTGAATCTCAGCTTGCTTGCTCTTCAACTCTATCGAGAGGCACATAGCATATTTCTTAAAGCAGTGCAACTCCTTTAAGATTGCTGTTCTGTGATTGCATTGGCAATGTTCTATCTGAAAGAAGAGGAACTGCGTAAAAATTGAAAACGCGGAGGAAAAATACTAAAACGCGGAGGAGAAACGTGTTATATCGATTTGAAACAAACTTGAAAAGCAAGAGATTATTTTGAAAAAAAAAAGCGCAAACTGCTATCAGCTTCAGCTAATTGGCTGCGTACTATATTCCCCAGCAGTTCTGGAGTTTGCGAAATTACCGGAATACACTTTGCTCAATTTTCCCTTGCCTCGACATTCGTGCGTCACCTGTAGCGGACCGCCCACTCTCCACCTTATCTGGCAGCTACAGTAGTTAAGAGTGTTCCATTGAATCCCAGAAAACTCATACAGACAATCGAAGGGACCCCACTGCAGTTTTCTGCGGTGGTGTCCGAGCGATTGTCTGTGTGGGTTACGGCACGTCGCTAGCACAAAGCCATTATACGAGCAACTTTGACACTGCCTTTGACAATGGCATGTGGTGGCAAATGTTAACCTGTAATTGTTTTGGGAAATCTCAGAAAAAGCGAATGCCACTTTTTCCTGGTTTGCATTTTGGCTATAATTTAGAGTTGGGTGCGTTTTCATTCATGAATAATCCAATGTTTCAGACTTGTGTGTCAGAACTCACTTGCGATTCGCTTTCGGTAGATGCAGTAGACGCCAGCTATGGTTATATGTGTGGCGCAGGACAACCACTATTCGAACAACATGCTGCTTGTTTTGCTAGAGTAAGCCTATTTCCATTGTACTTTCAGCTTGTTGCAAAGGCTGGTCTGTATCATGATTTAGGTTGAGATTGAAAAATCGTACGTCAGCTGCAAAACCGCTGCTACACAAGCAATAACTGAAGCGCAAGAAACAAAGGTACAGTAAAGTAGATTCGTAATACAGTGAAACTACTTCGACGACAACGTTGACGCGGGAAAAACGATGCAAAGAACAGTGTGTGGTCTCAGCCTGTTCCCTCTTAGCCTTTCAATCAAATATGACAAAGTTTTATTCAGCTCTTTCTAGCCAATATGATCATATCAACATAATTTTAACTCACCTTTGTATAGGTTCACACTTATTTTTCTGAAATTACTGTGGACATAACGACTGTTTTTTAGCTGCAATCCGGCTCAACGGAAGCATACTTGGCGGAAATGTGTCGGGCAATGGACGGGTATCTTCGGTGCTCTCACCCAATAATCTTGGAAAAATGCGGAGCAGAAGCCTGGAGACTGGTGTCTACAGTAAGACAACTATGCGCCTCTGAGATTGCGGTGAAAATTGTGACAAATTTTAGGTTACGAGGGACAGTCTAGGTGTCACGATGCCCGACTGCGATATGCGATCGGCTTTGATCTGATTATTTTTGTTTCATTAGTTGTTGTACCACACTGCAGATCTCAGCCGTTTTAGTTTTTCGCGGCGTATCTCTTTCTTACTGAAAAAATCAAGAGATGCATTTGATGAAAATCCTTTGTATAGCGATGTTTGCGGATTCAAAATCCTGTATCAGTTGCAATCATAAAATAGTGTTATATTGCATTCGAACAGCTATACAAAGTAATAAAACTCAACTCTTGAACACTGCTACGTTAAGTAGTACTGAAAATATTTGTTATAGGGCCTGCAGGATCGCGAGAGTCGGACGTGCGTACGACCATTGCGCCATGCACGTCCGATGTCAGTAAGGCAGGTGCCAGACTTATCCGCTTCAGCCGGTTCGTTCGGTTCATAGGTCAAATCACTACACTGTCCAACAGAAAAGTGGTGAACTGAATGGACCTGTTCAACAGGATAAGTCTGGCACCTACCTGAGTCGTCGGACGCACATCTGACGTGCGCGGCGCAATGGCCGTACGCACGTCAGATGTGCGTCCGACGACTCAGGTAGGTGCCAGACTTATCCTGTTGAACAGGTTCATTCAGTTCACCACTTTTCTGCTGGACAGTGTAATGATTTGACCTATCCTGCAGGCCCTATAGCCAAGGCTTACTAACAATCCATACTACAGGGTGGCCGAAAAGTATAGGCGCGCCATGTTTTATCGTGTCCCACCGTTTGCTGGTTGATGCAAAGAAAGTTATTTTGGCCTCATATTGCAACAAGCGGTCGTCTAATTACCAAAAAATTATAAAAGCGTGCCCTCACCGCGAAGTCACTGCCCGCTTGGCTGAACATACAGGTCCCAAAAGTAAGTACACACTTTTCAACCGTTAATATCTCTCTTCCCATTGTGTCTTTCTTCGCCATTCAAGAACCATTCTGTAGAGGAGGCTTCAACTTAGATTTACGGCATTGAGCGAATCACCGACCGATCTTCATTACTGTAGGAAAATTGTAGAAACTTCGACAAGGATTTCAGGCCATTGGAAGCCATATTCTGCCTCGGAACAAAACCAAACAAGCTAAAAACTCCTATACTCAGGTAATGGAAGTTGCTGATTTCAAATATGAGATTTCCACTTTACTATGATGCTTCTTTCTGAAGTTATCCCAGGTAAACCCTAACATCGAATTCTCAATATTAGTCAGAAATGTGATTACATCGCCAAAAAAGCTGAAAACACTCATAAAAAGTTGTGTAGCGAAATCAGCGTGCGCGAAAACCTTAGTAGATTATTTTTCAGATTTTTTGAAAAAATTTTGTCAGACGGCATATTTCACAATAATTCTACTTGCTGGAAGTTCTTACCGTAATCCTACAGTGATGAAGAGCGGTCGGTGATTCGCTCAATACTGCAAATCTAGGTTAAAGCCTCCTCTATAGAATAGTACTTAAATGGCGAAAAAAGACCCATTGGGAAGAGAGATATTGACGATTGAAAAGTGTGTACTTACTTTTGGGACACCCCGTAGAGAGTCCGCGGCATTGCAAGGAAGCTAGACACGCCTTTGAGACGTTCCAGAAAATCATCAAACAGTGGAAGGAAGAAGGAAAGGTTGCTCCAAAACCGAAGACTGGCCGTCCGCAAACGGTGAACACCAGAAGAATTCGAGGAATTATCAGAGAAAGGATTTGCAGGAACGACGAGATTAGCCTGAACGGCATCGCGAAAAGTCTGAACATAGCACGTTCGCTGGCCCAAGCTATAGTAAAAGATGAACTGAGACTTCGGGGCTACCGAATGCTCACTGGACACCAACTTACTAGCGCAGCAAAAGCGAGTCGTCTGGAAAAATGAAGGAAATTGTTGGAATTTTTCGAGGTGCGCCGCCTTGAGAATGTCTTTTTCACGGTTGAGAAAATGCTTACCATTGAAGGGATGTCGCAATCCCCAAAATGACCGTCAGCTAATCGGTCCGAAATACAGACAGTCACGAAAGCGAAAAATCACTAAAAAGTCACTTTCCCCTCCCAGTCTGATGGTCTGGGCAGGAATCTCAGCGAATGGTAAGACGCTGCTTGTTTTCATGCCAAAAATGAAAATGTCAGCATTAACGCCACTGTGTACCAAGAGGAAGTTTTAGAAAATGACGTCCTTTTTTGGAAAAGAAGTCATCCACATAAGATATTAGCAAGACTGGGCACCGGCGCATTCAGCGATTTTGACATTAAGGTATCTTTCAGCTAACCTAGATGTTTACCTGTCCAAGGATCTTTGGCCGTCCAGCAGTCCTGACTTGAACCCGGTGAAGCGTGCTAAAGAACAGTCTGAAGGGAAAGAATATCACAAGTCTGGAGTGTCTGCGCAACGAATTGGAAGGTGCCTGGACGAAAATTGATACTGATTACCTGCGCCGCACGGTCCTCAGTGAAGGCAAGACTCCGGGCCTGCGTCAGGGCCAGAGGAGGCCATTTCGAACAATTTTTTTAGATATTAATATTCAAGCTTTGTTTGTGACAGGGACATAGTAAATATTAGAATTTAATGTTTGATGACAGATTTACATTCGTGGATGTAACGCCCATAATTTTCGGTCACCCTGCACAATATCGTTTGAAAAAAGGAGGGGTCATGGAAACTACCGTCTGACAAAAATGATTGTTAATATAAGAACTGACGGCCCATCGGGTGTTATAAGGCAAATTTACCTCCGTATATTCTCCCACGCTATAAGAACGACTTGACAACGTGACTTGACCGTCTGTCCGATGAAGTGCAGCGGTGATGTGACATCACATCGTTGATACTGATTATCTTGATCATCGCGGCCGCCTTAGCTGCATTTTGTGAGCCAATCATACTTTGTGAGTTTATCATAAGGACTTAGTATGGATGCGTAAGAACTCGAAAAAATTTTGTAAGTTGCAGTTGAGTAAATTACAATATACTTCATCTAAGGTAATGTGCTTCATAAAAACGCGCAAAACTGCACAAAATATCTGGGTTCAAATAGGAGAGAGTCGCTGAACAGTGGATACAGCTGTGTAGGAAGAAAAGTAATTTTTTCAGAACTCTTTTTACTAATTATGACATTTTCGTGAGGGTGAATTAACATCTGATTGTATTCGTTGCCGTTGCAAAAACTTTGTAGCGGTAATCATCGGTTAGATAATGGATAGTATCACAGACTGTCCCCGACGTGGGGAAAAGAGTCTCCAGCAGTTTGGAACCGTGCTCCTCACTTGAAACGCAGTGACTTGCCCATTCGACCAAACCCTCACAAGTATCTTTCTCCTTGAGGCGCCCACCTTTGAAATTTCAAAAAGCGGTCTGATTGCTGGCACAATTGATACTGTATTGAGGCGTCGCAATTCCACTTAAAACCTCCGATTACCTGAACCGACCACTCTTTATCACGGGCCCTATATCTAGTAGATCGCTACTATACTTACTGTTAGATGGCATTCACGCTGGTACAGCTCCAGCATAAGTACACCATAAGTAGCCATGTTAATTTTCACCTGTCCTCCGTCTTGCTATGCTTACTGAACATGCTCACTGAGTCACAAAGGCAAATGTTTGTACAGCATGCGAATTCCTACCAGACGTTGGTTGTATTGGAATGTTTCAAAAAGTCTGCCCGCCTTCTAAATTCAAAGTCTGCCATTTTTATAAGAGTGATTACTACAAATGTAACAAATTGTACCGATTACCATGACTCCATCTATGTAGAAGAGCAAACTTTTGCTCATAGTGTAGCCAGGGGTCAAGTGAGCTTCCGACAACCTCGGGTTTTGGGATAAGAACTGCAAAAACAATAATGTTTGTGCTAAATATTCACAAGCTCAGATTTTTCAAAATCATATCGAAATGGCGTTTTCAGCACTGTTCTTCAGCAGAGGTTCCAATTTCCACAAAAAAACGCATCTTGTATTTGAAGCAGAGTATCTGTTTTAGAGGTGTGTGTGTATATGTATGTGTATGTGTGTGGAAAAAGCTGGAAAAAAATGCTGCGAAAACACTGAAAGAGAACAAGGAAAAAAAACACACTTCTCACAGATTTCAGGGAAAAATCCAGCATAATCAAGGGAGTAAGCCCTGGGTGCTTGTATACATTATTAACGGAAGCAAGATCTATCAAATGCACGAAAAAAACGCCTGAAAAGAGATAAACTAGAGAAAACAAGCGATTTTCAGAAACACAATCTTTGCCAAATTTCTCCTTCCAGTCAAAAATAAGTTTTAGGGAGTAGTCAGCGTGGAAGTAGAGGTCAAGTGCTCTAACATGATAAACAGTTTGCTAGGATTGAAAAGAACGATTAAGTTACCAGAGCTAAATGTCCCGCGCCCCGCGTTTGGAGTAGCGAGCTAGCGCGCGGAGACGCAGACGAGCAACGGAGACAGACCAGAGTCGACCGGGCATTTGGCTCTGGTAGTAGATCCCGGCGGGGTCTCAACGAAACCCTGCAACATTATGTATCATTGTGATCCGCGTGGCAACCAGGAGCAGTGACAGCGTCTCAAGTATGGAAACTCACTCATTAATGCGATAAAACAGCATTTTCGTGCGCGACTTTCTGCGCATTCAAAGACACTGGCTCGGCAAGTCTCAACATAGTCAAATTTTCGCTTACCTGGGATTATTTAATACGCTGATTCCGAAAATCCACTTCTGAGTGCTTGAAAATGCCGAAAACGAGCGTTTTTCAATGTCCTTCCCTTTGGAATTAGACGAGTTTGCAAGGCTGATGACGCCGAACCGCCAATGGTTATAGCATTGCGGCGGGCAGCCTCCAATGGTGAGAAGGAAATTGTCAACTCGTCCAGATGCGTGTAAGAATGGCCTGCGCGTGTAACTTTGAGAGCAATTTTCTCGGCAAGGAAGGCATGCTGTGCAACCGGGATTGCACTGTTTTCATACTTGGGCAATAAGGAGTCTACCGCGCTAAAATTTTAAGTTGTTGAGTTTTGCCGAGCCACTGCCTTTAAGCGCAGTTTTTCTTTTTTGACTTCAACAGCTTTGCTGAACTTCTTACACTCACTTGTAGACTGAAAAGGGGTTAAATGAGTTATATTTTTTTACATTCTGTGAATTTCACACGA